GACTCTAGATGAGAGAAGAAAACGGTTTAAAATGTCCATGTTGTTTAAAATCTTGAATAATGATGCTCCAACTTATTTGAAAGAGTTATTTAACTATAACGACGGAGCTCAATCCCTTGGGCTACGTAATGCGAATTTAAATCTGTCACTGCCATCAGTCAAAACAGAATTGTATCAACAAAGCTTTGCTTTTTCTGGCGCCAAGCTTTGGAACACCTTGCCAAATGATCTTAAAAGAGAAACATCTTTAAAAAATTTTAAAGATAAATTAGCTACACATCAACTCTCTGTTCTCTAATATTGATATATAATATTTCATATAATTAAATTGCATGCACCGCTTACGGGAAGAACAAGGATGTAAATATGTAAATATGTTTTCTCTTTGATGTAATTACCGTGTTGAAATAAAATTTTTAATAATAATAATAATAATACATATATATATATATATATATATATATATATATATATACATATAGTTATATATATATATATATATATATATATATATATATATATATATATATATATATATATATATAGGTTATGCAGAAATTGAACATGATCAATGGTAATTTAAAACGCCGAATGGTGGAAGATGGGTGTCTTCAGGAACGCAACAATGAAACAATGGAATTGATGTTCAGGAAAATGAGGAAAAGTGTAGGATGTACCAGACAAGTAAATGGAACCAGTTTGTTTCAAGTGCTACATTAGATCCTACTGAAATTGAAGAGCTTCATGAACATTCACAATTCCCACTATTTACTTACAACTTAAAACAACACGTAAATGTCCTACTAATAACATCGATACTATGACTAATACTAACTTCCAAATAACACTTCCTTCAACATCCGCCACACAACAATCCAAACATTCCAATCACGCCATCCCTAGCAGAAGAATTCACTCAACCATGACAACGCATTCTCCAACCAGCAATGAGATCAACCTCGTACCCAGGATCTTTCTTTTGGGAAAGACCCTGGCTGCGGCTGGTCACGTGCCTCATCAAAAATTTAGCGCCCGAGGGGGTGTGGGGAAAGTATGCTTACAACGTATTATTACAACATGCTTCCAGTGGGATATTCGTTAAAAAACATAAATTTTGCGAACTATTACGTTCAAAATACTTGCTAAGTTTTGTTTATTTTCTTTGCTTTGAATTTACAAGAAATTCTCACATTCTTACTTACAGTCAAGTCAAGAAACCAAGCAATCGTTACTCGCAGTGTTCTCTCCAAGTGCTCTCTCGCGTCGTGTTATTCAATGCATGCTCTCTTCACACTCGAGCGCGGTTATAACAAATGTTTATTGTAATGTTTTTAAAATAGGCCATTACATTTGTCGACCTTTCTTGTAAACGTTGATACGTTTTGCACCGATTCACTTGTTACTACGCGTCTTGTTTATAAGATTTTTAAAAGAAACAGTATTGTCTAGGACTGACCCAATATTAGCAAATGTAAACATTTGATATAAATAGCCGAAGAGAGAAATGTCCATAAGCATAGAGGAAATTTCAGTCATTGATTTATCTGGATTTAGTACATAATTCGTATTCGGTAATTATAGTAAGACTTTAGCCTTTTTCTTGGTCTCTATTAATCATTATATTGTGTTAATATACTATAATCTATATCACAAATTTACAGTGTCAGATGCGCACAGACCCGTCATTTGGCGTCATACGAATAGACATAAATTTTCGAGTTTTCTACTTCTACTAACATTTTTAAAGTTTTCATTGTGAATCACCTGTTTATCTCTAATTCATTAATCATTTGCTACTTATATTTATTTGATAGTGTCATATAGTGAATAATGCGTTTACACACAAGCAATCCAGGATATGATATAGACGATGCAAGCTGTCCATTAAAAAATAATGGTATTCTATTTCACAAAGCAAAAATTTAAATCTCACTTGTATATATTAAGAATGCATATAAAGCAAAAAATTAAAGCTTATTCATGTCAAAACGAAAGCTGTTTACAAAATTTATAAAAGTTATAAAGGTGGTGGACACAGTCTACTAAACAGTGCTCATTGAAAGACATGTATAATATAGTGACATATAATTTGTCGTTTCACCTATCTTTGGTGTATGATTTTAATACCGTAGAATTTCAACAGACAGCTATACTTTGACATATACCATGATCGTTGGTTTCAGCAATGCCAAGGGCCAGTAGTCTTTTGACGGGCTTTAAGTTTTTTTGATAAAGCCTTTATATATATCAACAATCTGGATACAATCTGGATACAGTTGGCGATATTTCGGAAATCAAAAGATCTCGCTATTTCGTTGCATTCCACATCTCATCAATAAATAAATTCTTTTGGTTCGAGTATCAGGATAAACAGTTGATACTTATAAATAATTACTGACGGTCATAATAACCTATTGTTTTCTCTCTGCATTATATCAGCGAATGTCGTGAAGTTTTAGCATTCTTCTGAAAAACGGGAGCGGTCTTTTTTGATTGTAGGGAAATTCCCAGGGGTAAATGTTTATACGGGCTAAAATAGCACACAGCATTATTAAAAATAATGCAGCATGCACACAGCATTATTAAAAATAATATATCTGCAATATATCGAATAATGCCGTTGGCCTCAGTAATTATCTATTAAGTAATAGCATGGCATTCAAGGCGATTAGTGATTAAATGTACCCGAAAGCCGAGAGAGGTTTAGTATATAATATAGAGTGCTCAATACTTTACTGTAGAGCTAAATTATTTAATTATTTATGAAATAAAGTACAAAACAAACGTTGTTACTCAGAGTTTCATGCCTGAGTTTACAGACAATCTTCGGACAACTAAAGTTCTGTTAATAACTAAATTTGACGGTTTGGTTTTGTTTGCTTGCGCGTGCATGATTGCGCACGTTGTTCGATTGCACGCGAATGTATTTTCCCGCCAGAAATTGTTTTTGATGGACGCAATTCGAGAATATTTCACTTCTTTTTAAATTTCATGATGAAAAGTTTTTCGTCGCTACACAAATTGCACTGATTACGTCCGGATCTGTATGCACTCGAATGTTTTAAGATGGTCTATTTAATTTTGTATGGGCGATTGCTTTTCTTTAAACTCCATACGTACTTCGACAGTTCAGTGTCGTTTGCATACGTAGCGATGTTGAACGATTTCTGGTGGTTCCTAAAACGCTCCTTGAAAGTTGTAGCCGTAATTCCAATATAGTGCCTTGTTTCTCCGTTGTCCTCTGCTGCGATCTTTGCATGGTAGACAATGCCTTTGGTTAAACATTTCTTGTTGAGAGGACACGTATTCTTATCTCTGCAGTTGCATGTTTTGTTGGTGGGTGGCGCAGGTGTTGGTGTTGGTTTTAATGGTGGTGTTGGCGTTAACGTTGGTGATGGGGGAGATGGTGATGGGGGAGGTGGTACTGGCGCTTTTGAAAGGATCTTTTTGTTATGGCTGGATATCACGGATTTCACGTTTTTCATGCAACTATAGCTCACTTTGATGGTATTCCTGTTGAAAATTTTGTTGAGGGCAGATGACTTAGGGAAGTAAATATCTATGAGGTGTAGAAAATCTTTACCAATGTTGGATCTCACGTTTTTACTGTATGGCGGATTGAACCAGGTGATATTTCTTTTTCGTTTTTTTTTGGTGTGTTACGGCTGTTATGATTTTGATAGTGTAACTTGCTTTGGTAGTTGCTGTGATGCAGGGCTTGTTCGTATAGAGGCGCCGATGAGTCGAATGCTTGTTTGTCGGAAGAGAGTCGGGAGATTCTTTTATTAATTGACACAGGTAGTTGTCTGATAATTGGGGGTGGGTGATTAGAGTGGCTGTTAATATAGAGTGGTTGGTTGTTCGGTTTCCTATAGGGTTTGTATAACTACCGTCAGCTAAGTTGAGCGTAATGTCTAGGAAATTAACGGTTTGATGACTGACCTCTGCCGTGATCTTTAAATCAAATTGCTCAAATAAATGGTGCAATTTCTTTCTTGTCTGATCAGCTAGACGACCACGAGTCCCCTTCAGCAATATCAGGCCATCGTCGCGATACAAGCCTACACGATATTTCCCAAACGTTATCGATAGTTCATTTAAGATAAATAAACCAACAAGTTCACAAACTTCCGCTCCGTCGAAACTTCCCATTGTGACATCGAACATACTTTGATTGTTGCGTTTAATCCAGGGCTTTTCATCGTTAAATAGCAGGGAACTTCGAGCATGTTTAATGATGGAAATATGCTGCTCGGTTATAGGAGTGAAATTCGTCGCCCATTTGATCGTTTTATCCAGAAGTTCTTCGGTGATTGAGGGGTAGAATTCGGCGATGTCGAAGGACAGAAAGGAGTTGTTTACTTTATTATTTATGTCCTTGAACCATTCGATGACAGATTGCGAGTCTTTCCATTGGTTAAAACCAGTTGCAGTTCTAATCTTGGAATTAATGTCATCGAGAATCACTTTACTCACTTTACCGAGTTCACTTTTTGCTGGATTTATGAGTCGGAATTTTGGGCTTTTCTCAAAGTTCTCCTTGTGATCTTTGACAGTAATGAATGCTTCACGTTTCGCCATGGTTTCAATACGATTGCTGATATTAAGATCAAAGCAATGCAAAGATCGCAGCAGAGGACAACGGAGAAACAAGGCACTATATTGGAATTACGGCTACAACTTTCAAGGAGCGTTTTAGGAACCACCAGAAATCGTTCAACATCGCTACGTATAAAACATTCGAGTGCGTACAGATCCGGACGTAATCAGTGCAATTTGTGTAGCGACGAAAAACTTTTCATCATGAAATTTAAAAAGAACTCGCTGCTCAACAAAAGAAGATGTATATATATATATATATATATATATATATATATATATATATATATATATATATATATATATATATATATATATATATATATATATATATATACACACTCTTAAAAACACTCTGGTTAAATTCAACCAGGAATTGGGTTAATAATCCACCCAACACATTCTGGTTAAATTTAACCCATTTCCTGGTTAAAAATTATCGATTCAACAAAAATTTGGTATACTTTTTTGGACATTTAACCAGGAAAATGGTTAATTTTTTTTAACCAGACTTGTGTAGGTGGATTTTTAACCCCGTACTGGTTGAATGAACCCAAATTTAACCACAGTGTTTTTAGAGTGTAGGCAACATTAGGTAAAGCATAACGTGTCAATCACGACAGCGAGGCTCTAAGGCCACTTTGACGTACTTTTCGGAAGCGTGCATGTCTTAGAATTATTTTAGTTTTATTGTGGAGATTATGTGCAGTAAATGGTAAAATATGGATTTAAATTACTTCACGGTTAGTTAATAAGTATGCAGCTATAGACTCTAAATAACAAATTCGTTCATTTTGAATCTGCATGAGGTAACCAATTTGTTGGTTGTTTTAACCAATCTGTTTGTACAGTGTACAATTTTTATTTACTATAGTTGTGAAGAATAAACGGAACATCCCAAGGGCATTGCGACGGGAGAAAACACGAGCGAATCAAATCGAGACGATAATGCCACGTGTACGCGTATAGTAATCACAATACATTGCTATATTTTTGTCAGCTCCCCTGCAGGGAAAAGTCTTTCATCAGGATTGTGTAGTTAATTTTTGCAATGTGTTTTTGCAAGTTCTAAGTGTAAATTTTGAGTCTCTTTTCGCCTTACAGTTACCTCCATAAGAATCTGACGTTAAAGAGTCACTTGTGTCAGCTAGGAGGTAATTGTTTTATACCTGATGCATGCATGTATGACGGTAACTATAACTATAACTACGTTTTATAACTTGTATAATGTTACCAGGAAACAAAGCTCGACAAGCGACTGTAGCAAAGCAGAAGCAAATATAATGAGGATGTTTCCTGCCAGAGGGCCTATAGTTGCATTTTTCGCAACTGCTCCTGATTAGGTGTACTAAATGTATAAAATTCGAACTCGAAATTTCCATCTACAAAACCCTTCTACAATGACTTGTATAGAGTGTAGATGCCCAAAAACCTGATGTTTTAGTAAAACTTGTACAAGCATGAAGATAATTATATACTGTATACTGGAATCCTGCACCGCCCAAAATGTTTGCAGTAATATTCTTTATTGGAGAAGCACAGTCATGCAAACGGTAATCGTGTTGTCTACAGGGTCAGAGCTGGAATAATGCAATGTAATTCACTTACTGCAGTAATACTATAGACGTTTCGGTGAAAATTCCTGATACCGTGGTATAAAACACACATTTGAATGTGTCCCCAAACAATCTACCAAAATTCATATTAAGTTTCATCAGTCACTTTCCCAAAGCTCGCATTCATACCACATTTATTTCAATGACATTTATTTTGAGGTGCTCTTTCAAGTTCTTTCAAATGGAACGTTGCATGGGTCCAATTCTTACTTTTTCTATTTTTGATAGTCCCATCAATATTTTTTCCAAGTGGCCACTCATATTTACTGCCGAATATACATATCTCAAAGAAATAATAAAGATAAAGAGTGCGTATTTCTCTTTTACAGTAACATATTTGTCAAAATGGAGGATTTATAAAGGGCCAGAGAATTTGAGTTCGTGTTCGTTCAAGCCGAGATTATGGTTTTAGGGATTAGCGATAGGAGTTAGGGTGGCATTTTGGGTTAGGGATGAAATTAGGTAATTTTTAAAAGTTTGCGTATAGTTTTTGTTGTTAATATGTATATATTATTATGCCTGATAGGCTTTAAACTCGATGTCATTAACCCGCGAAACGAATTCGAACTCAGGATTAACTCAAACTCATGTATAATATCGCGATTTATAATGGCAGACATGAAAAATTGAAAAGTTCATGCACATGCGCAGTACGTATTCTGTCATCTAGATCTCTAATATACAGGGTGTATCATAAAAAAGGAGACCTTTAGAAATCAAGCATATTGTTAAAATTTGAATGCCTTTTGAATCCTAGACCACTTTGCTAAGCCCACGAGTGCAGATTGTTCCCAGGCAGATTGTTCCCAGGAGCAGACAATCTTTTGTTTAAACGTTATTTCAATTTCTAAAGGTCTCCTTTTTCTAATATATGCACCCCATCAATATTTCACGCACTACGGTTCAGCATATGTGCAATTGAAAAGGCTTTCAAATTTTAACAATATGGTTGATTTCTAAAGGTCTCCTTTATACACCCTGTATAACTCCATTTAAATATATAGTTCTGTGTTTGGACTACACAAGATATTGAACAACATAGTTAATATTGGAGTACTTGTAGTTGCCTATGAACAAACATAACTTTTACAATATAGCTAACGGAAGTCAATTATAAAAAGTTGACTGAAACAAGTTATGGATTAAGAGGCATTATATAATGTAGGTTATTTTTGAAATAGTTTTGACTGAATGTCCAATGCCATAGTCTTTTTCAATTCACTTATTCAAGTGGGTGTTTTTATACTTACGAAGTAAATTTCTTTGCAATATTCCGATTTGGTATCTGTTCAACCTAATTATCATATGAAGTAGTTAGAGTAATGCCACTCTAATATACTCAATTGTTTCATGCACGCACTTGCAAACACGGAAACTAAATCAACTATACCTTTATGAAATTTGTTACGTTCTCTGCCGAACTCAGAAGAACCAGCTGATAGGGGATTTCTTTGCGACTATACTGCGGGAATTTTAACTAAACTTTGAACTGTTTAAACAATCTGATCATGCACAGCAAGTACACGATCTTTTGTCTGCTTTTTGTATTGAGTGTTATAGGGCTGAAGGTGACTCTTGGATTAACTTTGGGTAAGTGTTCTTTTTTGCTTTAGTCAAAAAGGGGAATCGAAATAACTAGTCCTTCAAATTTCTTGAATGGTCACGTCAATGGCCATCGTTGCTTTTCTATGTTGGAAAAACGAAATGTACAAAATTATGCATGTTATATATATACAATATCGTCATTGATTTATTTACAATTTGAGACTAAATTACTCTCACCAGCTCACCTATAATCTATATATTTTCATTGTATGGGCTATAGCTACATACTTTATAATTACACCACAAGTTTTTGTAGGCACCGAACTTTTTTCATACAGAAAGCTGTTGAAAAAACGCGTATATAGCTATGACATATTATGTTAGGTCGAAATGATCAAATTTCTGTCCGATCACGTCGTATTATGTCGAAGTCAATTTACTCCGACAATGTCGCACTCAAATTCAACGAATATTATTTCGACGGAAATTTGTCACGTCTAAAACAGGCCTTAAGACATTCAATATCTTATTATTGAAGACTATATACAAAAGTATTCTGATGATCACAAAGCAATCTGAATTAGGCCTACATATAAAAAAAAAGATAAATTCAAATTTGTAGTTAACGAATGATGGTTATATTGCACAACAGCTGCATACAACCGACCGTTTTTGACTTTTTGCTTAGCATTTAACCTTAATTCATAGACTGGCGATCATGATTTATACTTAACATAACGCTGCTCTATATGTCTGAAATTTGCTTTGCAATTTACAACAAAAATTGCCTAGTGTAACATGGCGTTGCACGCATGTTGTCAATATTTTGCAGCTACTGTAACGATCTGAGCCTGAGGAGTAGGACAGCAACAATAATTTCTTGCAAACAAAAAGTTATCATATAAATTCATAGCCTTATATTGTACTTCACTGTTATAATCAACCAATCACAAAACTTGTTTTTAAAATGCTAGCCCTGCTCTGGGACCTTAATTAACTCGCTTAAATTCGCCTTAAATCGCCAAAACTCGCATTACCTCGCGGCGAGTTCCCATCGCAGAGTATGCCTCGTACGGTTATGGACACACGCTTCTCGGTGGTTATTGGCGGGCAAAATGAAAATGAACTGATATGTTCAATTTGTGCGAGAAATATGTGCATGATTCCTCCATATTGACCATAATATCGTGACGTCATTGATTTGTCATTAGAAAGCTACACCTACGAGGTATTCGAGGAATATGATGAGTATAAGGAAATATTTATGGGTTATGATACTGTCCGCAGAGATACACGAGGTAGAGAACCTTCAAGCAGACCTGGAGTGGAGACTGAACAACGACCTCCTTTTCCTCGCAATCATTTTACGCCACGTACACCCCCTGTTACACTGAGTACCAAACCATTCTCCAAGCAATCCGCTGAACCTACAGTTCCTCTGGTTACAACTTTGTCTGCCAATACACAACCAAGTAACCTCACTGTCAATGTAAGTGAAAATTATTTCAGTTTACCAACATCCATCTAACAGTCTGTCAAGCAAGTTGAAATTATCTTGCGGGATTATGATCAGCATTAATTAATTAACGTATAGTGATATTGCTTGCAGTATTTTTTACTAAAAGCTCCTATACAAATATCTATATCGGAGCAGAAAAACATATTATATACTGACACTTCAAAGAACAAGAAGAATTCGAACTCACATCTTCGGGTTTCTAGACTGCCGTTCTACCCATGAGCTATCGAGTCAACGGGGATTGGTAGCGAGTCTTATCCAATTTAAGTGCACGAAATATTTTCGCGACGACTTAACACTTGTCTTAGAGGACGCGCAGTGTTTCAATTCTATTTCAGAACCATCCTCAGAGATATGAAAAACTAGTTGCATACTTATTCTGAAATTTTTTTTAGAACCACTGAGTATTTTAACAAAATACAAAACAAGTGAAACTCCAAAAATCGATAACATTTTTATGTATAAATAAAATAAAAATGTTATCGATTTTTGGAGTTTCACTTGTTTTGTATATTATTCTGACGCTGCAGAGAGCAACGAAAAATGCGTTGTCTCGAGCGGGATTCACTGAGATGGTCCAGAACCATTTTCAGATATCTCTGACGAAAGTTCTGAAATAGAACCGAAACACTGCGCGTTCCCAAACATTTTTGTCTCCTCGCCACTCCCGCCCCCCGTCGACAGGGATTTTGGCAAATATACAAGGAGAAAATTGGTGGAGGGGGGGGGACGGTCCAGCAATTTCACAAACGTCGGGCAAATGTTCGGCTCCCCCTAATTTATACCCTCCCGTATACGCCTATGTGTGCATGGAATGTGCCACATTGTCATGATTTTCAAAAATGTTTTCGAGAAACAGAAGATACGTTCTCCACAGACTCCATTCTACTGCATTCGACCGAGCGCCAGCCATATTTTACTATCCCCGGAGTCAGTGGCGGCGGAACAGGGGGGGAGGGCTAGGGGGGCTTTAGCCCCCCCTCCAGAAGTAGAGGGGCTTGGCCCCCCAAAATACATGAAGAATGCCAGAATGCGAGACCATTTATACAAACAACGAAGTCGTCAAATTACTGCTTCGCCTGCTAAAATGCAAAAGAAAATATCCTACTTTGTGATGAAGTGAATGTAAATTGATTTTCTTGTACCCTGAGTATATACTTTGATTATACAGTAAATACTACAAAGTCAGAGTATTGGCCTTTGTGGTTATTTAGGAAATGGGACAAATAAAAGTTAAGTGAAGATGTTTCAGACTTTCCTAATGGGTGATTGCAGCTATAGACGAAATTTTGATCAAAGCAAGAAGAACGAAATCCAACACAAGAGCTAGAAAGAGCGTCTTAGAATGAGTAAAACTGCAAAGATTTGTTGCTAAATGTTGTAAAATGAAGAAAATATAGCCCTGCATGTGAAGTTCACAAACCAGGGCCTGCCCGCCCGATTTTTTAATATGCCCACCAAATATGGACTATGGAATACAGTTGTATTTCTAGTTTGGTTAACATTTTTAAATCATTAAAATGCTTAATATTATGTTTTATGTCCAGTCAGACAAACTTTAACACTGCTTATGTGCTGATTGCGCAGATCGTATAGACTATAGTGATCTTTTCAAGTTTTTGTGGCTTATAATTGGTCGTTAATTTGCTTCGATTGCTCATTAATTCATCATGAGTGATTGAGTCATGAAAACAAATTATCTATGGTTATGCATAATTGCATATCCGTATTTTTGTAAATTTTGAACAATTTTTCAAAGGTAGGAGGAATCACTACACGCTATGCCGCAGTTTGCGGTTTGTGTTTCCACTTAGTCAAAATCTACGGTAAACCTTTTCAAAATTTAGCCCCCCCAAACTAAAATATGTTCCGCCGCCCATGCCCGGAGTGGCGTCCGGGGAGACGTCCAGCTTGGTTTACACCTAACTAGAATTCCCGTAATTTCTGTTCCCATGATGTCTGATAGTCGAGAAGCTCTTTTAATTTGATAGTTTAAGCTTAAATACAACGAAAGATTCCGAGCTCAATTGAACCCAAACGTTCTGGAATGCCAGCCACACTTGATTTATACTCAAAAGACGGAAACTTCTATATCAGTATATGATAGGAATTTCCTAAAAATATGGAACGTTTTATCCGATATGAACCCACTTCACTGATAACATCAATATTGCCGGAGACTCAATTAATTTAATGAATTCTGGAACAGATAATGGTCGATAATAAAGATAATATTTATTACTTTATTTTCACAGGACAACCATAAATATTACAAGTCTAGTTATGATAGTTCTGGAGGCAGCAAGTGGTGGTATCCTTTGAGTGAAGGCAAATATCCAGCAATGATTCATGAACGACTTTCAAAGAACAAACAATACTCGGATGTAAGAATTATAATTACTCTTGCAATTGCTTAAAAATAATTCATATGCATGATATTATATTGAGATAACTTTTTGTTTTTGTTCACGCTTATTAATATTAAAGTTATCTTTTGTATCTAATTTGTAGACAGTCAGGACTTCATTCCAATTTCCATTTTACGGACATATCATTAACTATGTAACTATAACAAATAAAGGTACATTTAGTTGGAATATACAGCGGACCAAAATTTAAACTGTTTTTCTTTCTATAGTGAAGCAGCTTTGCTTTCATTCTCAGTATTAATATAAAATATATGATATAGGTTACCTATTTCTGGGAGATGTCGTTCACAAGTTCAATGCGTCATCACAGTATGTTGCCCCGCTTATGGCAGATTTTACAACAAACAATGACACAATGATTGCTTACGTAGATACAGGTACTTACTGATTAAAGAGTCCATTATTTATTGATCTTTCATCTACTGATCCATAGTTATTTTCTACTAATATGTTGAAAATATGTAGTTTGAGTTTTGGGAATAAACTCTAGCTGGTAATAAGAGTTGATAATGTTTTAGTGGAAGCTAAACAGCTTTATACAGTCTTCTCAACTCTCTCTTTGTGAGTGTATGGGATGAGTATAAGGTACGCTCGAACCCTGTCCTCACGTGAAAAGTGTAAAGTCAACGCTCTGCCGAAAGTCGTGGGTTTTCCCCGGGTACTCCGGTTTCCTCCCACAGGGAAAGTTGACAGGGTGGGTTAGGTAAAGAGGGCACACAGTAATTGGCATATGCTGTTGTAGTGACCCTGTCCTAGTTGGCAAAGCTAAATAAATAAAAGTGTGAGGTGGTATCACGTGGTATGAGGTGGTATGCATGGCGCGGAGAAGCGCGGAGTGAGATGGTTATGAAGTAGTGTGATGCATTCAACAACTCTATGACAAAGTTTCGAAATTCTTTATCTGGTTTCAAGGTTTAATCGAGATTAGTATGAGTAGGAATATCATCAAGAAAGAGCACACAAGAATTCATTTCAATTGCCTCATCTTCATTTATAATTAACCAATTCCTTGCCGTCCACTTATTGATTCGCGTGATGAAAAAGTGAAAGTCTGGGAGAAGTTGATTTGTTCACGGACCATTTCGTGACAAAGTTGATATTCGCCATGATCATGAATGGCCAATTAAAATATGTCAATAATTTCTTTCCTCATAGGAGATCGATTTACTGTACAGTGGACAAATCTAACATTCCAAGATCGAAAAGGTTTGTACAAATTTTTAATTTTTCAAAAGCCGTTTACCATGGCATGTGAAAGGATGGTAATTTATTTTCCTTATTGTTTTATCAGTGTGCTCATTCGATGTGTAGAAACGTAAAATTACTTTAAATTTAACTAGCTACATGATAATTTTCATAATTTTTAGTTGGTGAATTTTCATTCCAATGCACTTTACTGAAGAATGGAACATTTATTTTTGCTTACCGAAGTGTAAGTTCATTAAATAATTGAAACGCAACGACATAAAGAAAGCTATTGACATTTTGTGAAATTTCAGCGGTGTATTTTCATTTCCTTTTTAGATTCCTGCTCCTGTTTTGGAATTAAAAAGTGATTCTTTTCAGCAACGTGTTGGTATCTCTGACAGCCTGCGGTACCGAATACTCCGTCATGGCTTGTTTATTATACATGGAAGACTTTGTATGTTATATATAAAGACTATCACACGAGGGGCGAGGCTATATTAGTTTTATTTTATCATAAATATCACGAGTGTGCGCAGCAAACGAGAGACATTTATGATATCGTCCCTCAAGCAATAAAACTTATATCGCCTCACCCGATATAACCTGTTTATTATATACTTGCGCCTTTATCAGGATCAGAATTTATTAGATTAGTTATCGCATAGGCAGTGCAATAATTATTAAAATAGCGGGAGCATTTCAATAAAGTATGTATGTATGTACAACATGCAGTACACGACAATCCAAGAAATTATAACCAACCATATGCACTCGGCCCGAATGCGTATGGTTGGTTACTGGCTCCATGAATCAACCATAAGCATTTGACAGAATATATTTAAGATAACTAATTAACTAAGTCTAAGTAATATGATTATTGTGGTTTTTCAACCACGATAGTCATACAGCGAAAAATGTTTGGGGCTATTTTTAGCAACAAATGAGAGGAATAATGGCAAGTCTAATTATGTAGCCCTCCACGCCCCCCGCTAAGTATTTCGTGAAATGTGTCCAACAGAAAACATTGTATATTCTTCATTTTCCAACAGACACAACTTTAGCTCAAAATATTTACTTCAAATACCACTCTGTTGATCTTCCGATGGAAAAAGTAAAAACTGGCGCAGCCTACGTCATTACACCTTTGCTAAGTAAGTGATCTAATCACTTTTCTGGTATGATCAGAGTTATTAAGCAAAACACCGGTTTTTACGATAACCAGAAGAAGCTGCATGCTTCTCGGTTCTACAAATCACCCGACCACACAGAAAGAAATGTTAACAAATGTAGAAAAAAACGACAGTAGTCAGTGGTTCAGATTTGACTTTCACTATCGCTACCATTAATTGGACCATTAACCAATCAGATGCGTTTGACATATACGATTGACCAATCAGATACGTACTACTACGCCAGTGAGAGGTAATGGTAGTGGTAGTCAAATCTGAACCTCTCCAAGAGTGAAGTAGAGCTTCACTTACAGACAAGAGTGCATGCAGGGCTCAGAGTCTGTCAAGTTAAGATGGTCTGGAAGCCCGGCAAACGTCAAAGCTACAAAGTCTTGGATAGCTTATGATTTTTATATTACTTTAGATTGTGTTATGTTGAAATCTTGCAATGCCTGTGTGAGTACTGCAACTGCATTCAAATGTGCGTGGTGCCCCGAGCTACAAAGGTTAGTTACACATTGAATCACGGGCTCGCACTTCTTATATAACAAGACGCCTGCTCAGGCGTTCACACTGGCCTTATAATAGAGACCTTAAGATTGACGTTTACGGCAAACGTCAAACCGCTAGCGAGGTTTTTGATTTTACAACTCTATTATAATAGCTTTTACACCAGTTTTGAAATATGTTAAACTTATTAAACTTGTGCTCTTTAGCAATGATTTAAGAAAGCAAATTAACCACTAGTCATGCCATTCACCAAAGCAGTAAATCAACATTTGGCGTTTGAAGTTGGCGTTTGGCGTATAAATTTCATGCTTGAACTGCTACGAGGGCTTGTAGTCGTTAAAGCATGAAATTTATACGCCAAACGTCAACTTCAAACGCCAAATCTTAATTTACTGCTTTGGTGAATGGCATGACTAGTGGTTAATTTGCTTTCTTAAATCATTGCTAAAGAGCACAAGTTTAATAAGTTTAACATATTTCAAAACTGGTGTAAAAGCTATAATAACAGAGTTGTAAAATCAAAAACTTCGCTAGCGGTTTGACGTTTGCCGTAAACGTCAATCTTAAGGTCTCTATTAAATATAATTTTAAATGGTTATACAGATCCCGAGGGAACATTATAATTGGACCTACACATAACCATGGTGGGCTGGGAATATGTGTCTAATGAGAGGGGGTGGGCCGCAAAAATTAAACTATTGTTCTCGAGTTGGTCATGAAAATAATATAAATCGACAATTCCAATTAAAATCCACATGATGGTGATGATGGTGAGGGATATTATAGTGCTGATCGTGGCAATGATGATGATGATGGTGATGACGATGGCGGTGGATATACATTAGTGGTGACGTTACTGTGGTGACGATGATTTTGTTATGTCTAGATCTGTGGCCGTAATGGTGGTGGAAGTATAGTGTTCACAGTAGGGTTAATGTTATTCTCACACTACACTGAGGCGAAAGAAGAGTCAGATAATACCATGTTGCCTCTGGAATTGAAAGGTGTAAGGCACATGTATTATAATCATTTTGACACCACTGCCACATTTTAATAATAACTTACTGAATATCTGTTGAAACCTACAGCTACACAGTGAACTTAGATAAGTACGAGGCCTAGCTTTCTTAACATAACTGCAGGCGCTTCTCCCTCTAGGAAGACCAGTTTAGAACTGATAGTAGTATCCAGTATAAGTAAAATAAGATTAGTTCACGTTTCCTTCGCTAGTAACGTTGTCTCAATCTGAGAAGGCCTTTTTCTACAATGGACAGTATAAACGCATGGAGCCATTTGTGGTAGGAGTTGTAGTTATAGTGGTGATGATGAGCTATGATGATGGTCATTATATTTTAGGGATTGCAGTGGTGATGAGGGTAATGAGCTTGATACTGGTGGCAGTTGTGATGATGCTAGTCATGAAAAGCACATGCACTTTACACCATAACTATAGTCTAACCTAAACTTGGTGAAAATATCCCTACAGGTACACCAAATTACCCGGATATTGCAACCTACTGCAGAAAAGCCGAATTGAAGAAATACGACACCTTCCTTATCCTCACCGCTAAGCGTTTCACCGAAAACGACCGGTTGTTGGCCAAAAAAGTAAAGTCACTTAACAAGTCATTCTTTTTTATACGCACACATATTGATGCAAATTACGACAGTGAAAGATCAAAGAAAGCATTTAAAGAGGAAACAATGTTGAATAACATTAGAAAAGATTGTTTGAAAAATTTGAAAGGCTTGCTAGATGGCGATGAAGATGTGTTCCTGATTAGTAATAATCACCTGGCTAAATGGGACTTCGCCCGTCTTACACAGGCCATCCTTGATGTGTTGCCATTTCGTCAAAGGGAGTGCCTTACGCTGTCCTTAGATTTGTTAACGAGCCGCTCCAAGGATATCTTGAAACGGAAAGTTGAAATCCTTCGAGGTAATTATACTCAGTAAGTCAGTAACTGAATTGCTGACGCGCCTTTTCTCGATCAAGCGGTGAGACAGGTGCAAACGTTAACCATAGAACACGAAGTGGTTTTTAGTTAGAGTTAGAACAAGAGACCACACAGAATATAAGGACGGTGCACGGAAAGATTTAAAAAATGTTTTTTACCTATACTTTAACTCATTTCAGGTCGAATTTGGATGGTGGCAGTCGCTTCCGCTGCTGGTGCCGCAATTCCACTGCCTGGGTTGTCTATTGCGCTAGATTTAGTCCTTTTAAGAAACGAAGTGAATGTCTACAAGTCTCAGCTAGGCATACCCGAGAAATACTCTTCCAGAGAAATCCAAGGAATGACAAACGCGAAAACAATGGCAAATCTTTTGGCAACATTCTGTGCAGGTTCATTCGTTGAAGATTTTGCTCGGTTTATTCCGTTTGTAGGATTAATTATTGCTTCAAGTATTTCATTTTCCTCTACCCGTAATTTCCTCAATACATGCTTGGATGACATGGAACGACAAGCGTTGGCGTTCCTGGATGAAATTAATAAAAGAGCTGTGGACGATTTGGACACACGCTTTTTCAGGGATATGTTGAAAGGAAAAATTAAAGACCTTCGAGGTAGTTATACATGCAGTATACTGAATTTATTGATAGCGAATCGCAGAGCCATTAGTCTGCGCGCCTTATAGGAAAAAATAATTTTAAAGATGTGCTTTCCGTGCACCATCCTTCCTTTCGGTATGACCTCTTGGTCCTACCTATACTAGCCTATATATATTAAAAAGATATTCAATCACAAAATTGTTTCTTGTTTTCGATGCAATTAAAATGACTTCATATTCTCTAATCTGCACTCATCTCACCTCTTAATACAGCTATATGCTTCAATTCTTTTCAGGTCGAATTTGGAAGTTCGCAGTCACTTCTGGTGTTGGTGCCGCAGTTCCTTTGCCCGGCTTGTCATTTGTGGTAGATCTCGCCTTTTTGACAAAAGAAGTAAATTTCTACAAATCTAAGCTCTACGTCGACGAAAACTCTTACGAGTTCAGGAAAATGTCGCCAGAAAACCAAGAAAAAATGCGCACGTTATGTTTCACAATATCGGCGCAAGATCCAAATGTTTTAAGATTTTGCGTTCTAAGTTCTATAGTAGAAGAATCTGCTCGATACATTCCGCTCCTAGGAAGCGTTATTGCTGGAAGCATTTCGTTTTCCTCCACCTATTATTTCCTCAACCATTATCTGAACGAAATGGAAAGAGCAGCGATGGAATCCACGGATACCATGAGAACAACAGCAGTGGACAGCCATTGATTTTTTTCAGTTTGGCAAAGAACATTTTACTTCCACCTTTGACCAATGAGTCGAATTCAAAACTCTAGCAGACTCTATAGGCTCGCACTATCGGCTCCTCTGCAAGCAACTTGGTGGCAAAAAAATAGAATAACGCAATACTTTATATAAAAAATAGGAATAACGGGATATCATGATGATAATAGGGAGTTTACGCATGTA